AATTTTCAACATCCACACCACATTTTAAAAAATGTTTTATTTAGGACTCTCACGAAATCTACGTAGAAACTATTTAATAATTGTTGTTATATAATTAAAGAAGAAAAGCAAATCTGAAAGGTCCAAGAGATAATCTTGTTATTTTTCTAGGAGAAAAAAGATGAGAAATTGGTGAACAAGTTTGTGTAGAAGTTTTTTTTGTGTGTGTGTGTGTAGAAATTAGAACTAAATAAAGAATATATGCGCTTTATAAATTGACTTATTTGGCATCATTACCACTTTATTATATATTGGCTAACAAAAGCATTTTTTCCAAACTAAAATAATTTTGCAACCCCACAACTAGAAACTACAAAGTTTTCTCTTTGATGTAAGCACATACCATTGATCCAAAACTTGATTTTATCCACAAAATATATATACCGTATCCAAGTCCTTCTGTGTCATTATCATCATGATGCATGGCCACGATAGAGAAACCTTTTTCAGTTCAACCATGAATGAACATCATGATCATGTATTATTGGATGTACACCTGCTTGATGCCACTAGATGGCTATGGTACCCTCTCCTACACTCGCATGCACCGGATACAAGATGAAACTTGGTATCAAACTAATGATCATATCATGATGTACCACCTCCATACACATCCATATATAAGTTAATTATGCATGCATGCTATATAACCTATTCACCATTGCATGCATGCACTGGTTATGATATAGTGAATGCCTTCCCTAGTATCATTCTCATGCATCAACTAATAAATAAACAGTAAACATTCTCTTTAGTATCCGTTTTAGCATATAAATAGCAACTTGTAAATTCAAAACATTAGTCCAAATTTTGATAGGTCATTTCAATAATTAAAAATAAATAAAGACATGCCAATGGGTCATGTCGTAGAAGACATAATCTAAATTATTTTTTTGAAAAGCAAAACCAAAGCCACCAATTTGCAAAAAGCTGGTGTGGTCTACTTTTATGCTTTCCTCTGCTGTATAACTATAAACACAACTTCTCTGCCAATCTCCACCATTAACTTACCCTCTTTGAGCTCTGAAGAGAGAGAGAGAGAAATTGACCATGCAGCCAAATTATGATAGCTCAAGTCTTAACAACATGCAACAACAAGACTACTTTAACTTAAACCACTACTACAACAACTTAAACCCTCCAACCAACAACAATCTCAATCTTATCCAATACCCTCAAATTCAAGAACTCAATCTACAATCTCCGGTAAGCAACAACTCTACCACTTCGGACGATGCAACTGAAGGAATCTTCGTCATCAATGAGAGAAAGCAAAGACGTATGGTATCTAACAGAGAGTCAGCAAGAAGGTCAAGAATGAGAAAGCAAAGACACTTGGATGAGCTTCTCTCACAGGTTTCTTGGCTTCGAAGCGAGAACCACCAGCTTTTAGAAAAGCTTAACCAAGTCTCCGACAACAATGATCTTGTTCTTCAAGAGAACTCGAGTCTTAAAGAGGAAAACTTGGAGCTTCGTCAAGTTATCACATCCATGAAGAAGCTT